GGAAATGTTGCTGATAACAAAGAAAATCGTAGATGCGTTCACTCTTTGTGTTCTGCTATATCCTCATGTTCTTCCATGTTACTATTCTTTTTCCCTTCCCCCTCAAACTTTCTTGTTCTTTGTAGTTCTGCTGAAACTCTTCTTTCTTTCCTTTTTCTGCCTTTGTGTGCTACACGGATTATGGCGACTTCATCTGCCGTACTTCTGTGAAAAGTTCTATGTTGAGGCTCAGTCAGTATGATAATCAGAATACATACAAAGAATTTCTTTTTAAAGTTAGGCGATAGGTGGTATAAGAACAGAACTTGTGCACTGTGGTAGAGTATAATTCCGTTGGGGATAAAATTTATTTTGATAATGTCTCACAGTGTTATACAGTAATATTTACTGATGACAACGTTTCGAGCACAATTTATTGCTCATAATCATATCAAGACATTACTCACTCATATAATCTCATTACTTTACATCTCTTGAATTGATTGGTAGTGATGTTTTCCATATTTTTGGTATTGGCGATGAGTCATTCCTATTGCACTTGTTGGGTGTAGACTCGATGAACAAGGATTCAGTAGTCAACCTCTCTCTCTCTCCCCCTACCTATATTACTTCTTAGAATTTTAACCATCCCCCACCCTATTGTGTGGTTGTGTGTAAATGCATGCATTGCAATCACTGAGCTTTTTTCTAAACCACTTATCTTCTCGGGGTCAACCATTCTAACCTTAGCTAAATTCTTATGTTCCAATAATCTGACTATCCCCGATCTACTAGACTGACCTATGTAGTTGACTTAACTCACAGTCATTGCAAGGTATTTTGTAAATTATATTATTTTGTTTAATTGGGCACACTGGGTTCTTTAACCGACAGAGCTTGTCTCTGAGTGAGTTTGTAGGTTTAAATGCCACTCTAATTCCTGGTTTATTAAGAATCCTACGTAGAATTCTTAGGCAATAGGTGGATTACATACAAAATTATTGTACACGAGGAAGAAAACTAGGTTAAAGACGAACGTAGCAATCACTTCTGCTTTGGATAAAAGACGGGCTCGGAAACGTTTTAAGTCGCCTGTAATTACTTCAAACATCACTTTTATAGAGTTTTTCTGTTATCTCAGAATGGTGTGGAAGCACAAGGTGTTCATGGTGAACCAAGGTGACCCCTTAGTTAGCCTAATTTTTTGTCTTATAATCAAAGATTGTCTTGTGCACATATATACACAGCCAATGTAATTACTTCCAAAAGAAGTCAGTGGACTGATTGATATTTAACCCCCCCACACACACACACCCCACCTACACCCACTGGTATTTTCTGTTAGCACTTTAGAAACACTAGTTTTAACTGCACAACTTTGGTGAAAGGCTAAAAGATGAATACTCTTTACTGACCTACGTCTTTATCTTATTTCAATTTCAAAAATGTCTACAATTTAATCGAACGACAAGTAGTCCTACGCATTTGCCTTTGTAAAAGTACAATACGGAAATGGTTGTATGGAAACAAGAATAACCAACAGGATTGAAAGGCTGCATTCAATTATATTAATGTGGGTGTGAATGCGCCTAGGTAGTTCAGAGTGAGAATGCTCGCCAATCACCCACGTGGTCCACATTTTATTCCTTGTCGACCAACTGCTAAAATTCACTAAGCTGGTAGTCAGCCTGGAAAAGAGGGTAAAGTTGGGCGTCAAACTAGTGATCCCACTCCTATAAAGACAACATTACCGTCTCTATTGAAAATTTAAGGCTCAGGCCCGAGGCTTTATGTTCCAATCGGAATGCTTAAGGAATGAAGAAAATGGATCTGAATAACAAATCAGAAGTTACATTGATTATGCAGTACAAAATAACCAATCCAAAGTTTTGAAGATACTGTTGACTGAATTCTACCAGTTAAAATTTCTAAGCTAGGTGACTCACTACCTCGGTGAACCTTCAGTTTGATGTTAAATGTGGGAGGGAAATCAGGAAGGAAGCCTTGGACTGAAAATTCTCAGTGGTAGCATCTCTGACTAAAATACTGAGTCACGCGAGTGAGAATTTCGGATAATAGAAAGAAGAGAACACGAAGTTCAGCAAAGATATCGTTTCGGCGATTTCATTTTCAAAAGCTGTACAATCGCATTTAAATACATAATTTTACATGGAGACGATTCTTGTTTGATTTTACATAATTACGACGGTGAATAAAAGGTGATAATTATTTCCAACTAGATATGGTTTTTACGAGAGGCTTAGAAACAAAATTACACAGGATTAGAACAGATATTAAGTGTGCAAAAATGGGCATGGAAACGAAATCGAAATAATAATTTTCAACTTGAGATGGGAATCAGGAGGTGTGAATGTAGATTACAAGAGCCTTAGAAACAAAATTACATGGGATTTAGCGAATTACAAGTGTGTAGAAAATGAGCATGGAAACAAAAATTGATATAATAGTTTTAACTTGAAGTGGAAATTAGGAGGTGTGAATATAGATAACAGGAGCCTTAGAAATACAAAAATTGCACAGGATTAAGATATAATTGTGAATTTCTAAAACGAATTGTAAATGTGAACAGGAAAAGCACGGAAACAAACTTAAAATAACTGTTTTTATAACTGAAAAAAAATTTCGGATAAGATTTCAGTTCTATTTAAGCTTTCAGATATATCTTGATGGCGACAGGCTGGCAACCACGAAACCTTTATCTAACACATCCCAACGACTGACTTCAACCTTCTAACACCAAATCAGAAGTCAGTTAATTAGACCCATGAATGTCAAGCATCAGTTTACCAGGTATATACGTCACGTGTTGGTAAAAGCAGACATAAATTGATTGAATTTAACAGTAACCTTCATATTTTAAAGGCAAAATGAATTTTATCCATATTTTAAACACCTTCAAATAAGTAACTTTCAAAGCCGATTAACTCGCCGTCCTTATTATTTAACGCGACCTAAAAAGCAATCATTATACACAAAAGAAGATATTATTTGGTTGTTACTGGTCAGCAGTATAATCTAGGACGTACACTTCATCCTATTTCGGAATCCATCTTCTGAACCTGCCTACAATCAACCAGGAAATTACGCTGTTTCCACTCACATGTGAACCCACCAACCATCGCTTCAAACTCCAAAGCGTTATCCCTTAGGTCACCAGAAATATCAGGCTGACGAGTCACAAGTAGGAAGAAACGCGGGTCGTGTTGTATTCTACTGACAGCCTACATCAACATCAACTGACATCATGGCTATCTCAAGACACTGTCGTACCGGACATGCTAGGAGGTAACATGACAACAGTGGACCAAGCGTTTCAATTCAAGGAAAAACCTATAAACCGGAAATACAGTCAACAACAAAAAACTAACAGATTCACTTACATTGGATTGAAGCAGTTGCATATACTGTTCAGATAGGTCGTCATAAGTACGAATATAATTACGTCCAACTTCATAATTGCATACATCCCACTCCTTTGGTATATCTGGTTTTACATTGATAAGTTGACGGATAGCAGGTGAATTTAAATAACTATGCATTATTGTATCGTCTATACATGGCATTGCAGAACTGCAAAAGAAATGAATTTACATCACAGTTAGTCTGTACTAACCAAGTACACAATTGATTAAAACCAAATTATTTCGATATGATAGAGGAGATTTGTAGCTCAGGTGGATGATTTTGATGTGGTTGTGTTCTCTGAGCTGGATAGTTAATTTGCGAAGCTTTCATCGCCTTACTAGGCGACATCTTCAGCGCATACTTCAATTTGAAGTAAGTAATTCTCTCGACTGGAGTCAAGTTCATTAGAGGTGTATTCGGTATGGTTTAACTCGAATTGTATAATCTGCACAAATAGGAATCCGATCATACGTATTAAAAATTTAACCAAGTAGCTAGCTAGGATTCGGTTTGGATTAAGGAGATTCAGCAGTCTAAATTGAGTTAAACCAGGCACACCACTGATGATGATGAGCTCTGCCCCAAACCAGTGGAACAGCTGTCTGGTGTTTAAATCCCTTTGATCTGGCTATTTGGGAAGTACTACAGGTTCTTGTTAGTGCTATGAAACTACTTATATCGACCAGTCAACTAGTAGTATGTTGTTTCATACGGTTATGATTACTTCCTTGATTCTCATTTATGGTATCAATCAGATCACATATATTAGATGGTTGGAGGCAATCGGCCACAGGAAGCCTTGGACCTAGGTTTCGTGCTAGTTGGCACTCACCAGTCAGCAAGGCGTATCTGCAACTACCTTGAAGGAACTCATGTCCCTTCTGAGATTCAAACCTACGTCACCCAATTCTGCAGTCAGAGACGTTACCTCTTAGCTATTCAGACTCGCGATTGACCTCATGTAGGACTATATTTGATACTTTTGATTGGACACTAGTTATTAGCTAGTGTAATGTGCCTAGTCCTCTCTTTGGTGCAGACTGAATTCTATCAGTCAGGTTGTAATGCGGCCACCATTCTAGATAGCTTGCCAGATACGCCTTGCTAACTGGTGAGTGCTAACTAGCACGAAACCGAGGTACAAGGCTTCCTGCGGCCAATTGCCTCCAACCATCTAATGTCATCAAATTAATGTGCACTGTGATGGCGAACCACCTAGAATGGTGACCACAATACAACCTGACTGATAGAATTCAGTCTGCACCAAAGAGAGGACTAGACATATCACACTAGTTACTAGTGTCAAATCAGAAAAAAATATTTTGTGAGTGCAAACCACGAATTAATTTGTAAATTGTGGATTTGATCCAATATTAGGTAATTTATGAGCACTGACCTGTGGAACAGGCTGTCATCGCAATGAGGCCCTGCTTATTCTTGGAATCAGTGATCACGGAATTCTGATGTAGTGTGTGTTGTTCTATGGGTTTCATGTGGAAAATCGAACTTTAGTAGCACATCTCCATCTAACTCTGTTCTCTGGAATCTCATTACTATTGCCCCAAAGCTTTCCTTTCATCTTCAAATCAGCTTCTCCATGTCATCCGCGGACATACAGACAACTCATCATGTACTGTTCGGGTTCCACTCAACGACTTGGCGTTTATATCTCAAATGTATTAATTCTTTATCAGTGTCAAACACATATATGTGTGGTGAGAGCTGGCTGTTAGCCAAATTGGTAGACAGTAATTTACGTCAATGTTTCAGTCGCAAATATTAGTCATGTGAAAACAAGAACAAAGACTGACAGCAGACTTTGCGTAGGCGGATACATTTAGCAGATAGATGATCTGACATTCAAGAAACAGCCACAAAGAGATGAAAGATTAACTTTCAGTGAGAAACAACCAATCAGAAGACCGTGTTTGTCTGCTAACAATAATCTATAATAATATACATGAAAATCTATAAATATATGTTGATTTCCTTAATAAACGATCTGTTGTCTGACTCTTGCTTTCTGTCGTTACATATGTTTATCTAGTCGTATTATAATTTGATTTTCTTCGCCTGAACTGAATTACCCGGAACAGATCATTTATGTATGAAGGTTAATGACATTATGCTTAGTTGACCAGGCTGACGTAAAGGAGGACGGACTCCAACCCCTAACCTCCGTTCGCTAATGAATCACATATATAAATCACTAGATTCTCGTTATTTAAAATGTACTGCTTTCAAACTGTAGTCACTCAAACTAATGCACATTGATAAGGAAGTATGTATTGTCGGTGCTGACTAGAAATAAGTTGTGATCTGCATAAAGCTACAGAAGACAAACCCCATTGTCTCATCTGAGACTATGTAGTCACCAGTGACCATGTAAGGGACTATCCTATGAGCCTAGACACCCAAATGGTCTCCAGGTAGAACTACGAAATCTGTTTCATGCACCCGCTTCAGGTAGTCGTCCAGATGATGGCAGAACTCATGCTTAATTGCATTCGTCCCCCAATCCGTCGGCGCATACTCTAAAATGAAGAATAAACTTCCCTCCTCTGCCAGTTCACACCATTTGAACAAATGCTTCATATACAAAAGAATGAATAAAGGATTAGGTTCCTAAAAACGTAACAAGCGAGGTAGCCTGTAATTTAGGAAAGATATATTCTTGTTGCGTAATTCATTGAACCGTAAATCCTATTAGACCATACACTTTTTATAGAAGTTTGAAGATATTATTCTCTTAGCATGGTAATATTTCACACTGATGAGAAATTCAGGATCAAATATCTGTGCTCAGTGACACACAAGACAATTTCTCACCCCCACCCCCCAATAATCCAACACACAACCAGATAAAGTGTTCAGGTTTATCCTTCAGCGAGTGAGTTACAAGCCAATGAGTATTGAATTCTAACATCTGTAAACGAGCAACATATATCCACTGTTATTGATGAGCATGTCTTTTCAGGGGTTGACGAGAAACAGTTGTTTAGTGATTACCTAAATCATGGTGCCTTGTGATATCATGTGCACTAAAATTAATCGAATCAGTATAAACTCAAAATAGACACTTTATATCTTTGGTATTTTATGGACAATTTTATTAATGGACTGTAAACATCTCGATAATCGGGAGTGAAGTGCAAAAACCGGTGAGTAGAGAGATGGCTTGTTGGAATTAAGTAGTGAGCCTTCACAGCCAAATAAAACCAGGGACTTCGAGTCCCACCTCTCCTATTTCAACTCACCCCCTCCCACCCACAGATACAAAATAAATGTGGTTCATATAGCCTGGTGTATATGAAAACCTTGTACCTGGTCACTTTATGAAATATACATATCAATCAATCAACGGTCCACAGTCCCACATATCCACATGTGAGTATTTACAAAATGTAAAATATCAACAACAGTGATACAATCCAAGTCAAATATTATCATTGTAGATTAATTAGTTAACTACTGTGTATTATGAGACATTCTATCAGATGTAGACGGAAAGGCTAAGCAGTGATGAATTACAATGACCCTAAACCATCTGATAGCAACCATCGTACAACCTAAACTGGTTAGTCTAATGACTAGAAATGTAACAGAAAAAGCGGTGATAAAGTTGATACATATTAAGAGGGGACGCACATACACATACACACACACACGGTGACAGTACTGATTTCGATTCACAATGGAATTAATCTAAATAATAAAAATATAAAAACAATTGTTTACCAAAGTTTAAACAAATTATTTACTTATTTATTTATTTTACTATAGCTTGATTCCACACAGTATTTTGGTACAATTATGGAATTTTCAGCAGGTGATATCGGTAGCCTTTATTTAGTGGGCCGACCCTTGATATCAGGTATGCGTCGGCTGGGGATCGAACCACGGATCATGTGCATGGTCGGCGAGCGTCCTAACAGCTGCGCCACCGACATAGTTATGAATCAAACAATAATTATAACAATAAGGGTAAATTATAAATAATATTTCAAATGAAATTCTATTATTTTGTCTATTCCTGATATTTCTGACATATTGTCATACATGCGAATAAAACCCATCTCTCTAGACATAGCGAATAAAGTCAAGCATTTTCAATCACACAAGCCAGTATTCCCCTGATTCGACTCAACAAAGCAAGAACAAATGAACATTTCAAGGCTGAACACCTTACTCTTATTATTTCATAGATTTCTGTCAGCCTGTAACCACCTAAAAATGACATCAGTTATACAAAATATACCTCAAAAATTATTCCAAATCAAGCGGCAACACTGTGGAACAAGATTTATGAATACAAGATATTTTTCAATAGTTGGTTTGTAAGGGATTATATTTGTTTTTACGAGTTGATCACAGGTTGTTATCAGTTAGAGGACCATTGAAAACCAGCTGGGGGGAGTACTGGACAGCTGTTTCATCCTAGTTTGAGGATCATCGGCAGTACGCACCCACCGCCAACGTTCGAACCCAGGACCTTCCGGTTACAAGGCAAGCTCTAACTGATACGAATCCACTATCAACTCGTGAATCGAAGATAGTTAATAGTCTAATAACAATCAGAGTTTATTGATATATCATTACATGATAGAACGTTTCCGTAACTGTTGAAATGAACCCACTTCTTAACTGTCTCGTTGATAAAGATGCAGAAGCATCAACAAGAATGGAGAAAAGGGGAAAATTTCTAGCCTTCTACTAACCACAAAAGTGGTCCGAGCACCAACACACACATATACACACGCAGAATCAGTATACAACCACACAATCACTTACCCTGCATAATGATGATATCTCGTATAAACATTATCACGAAACATACTACCAAAATTATGATGGAGATACGTTTTCGACGACTGTAGAGTGGAGGATATTTCAGCAGTCGACATTGGCATACTTTCTTGAAATAATGTATTTACACCACCAGCACATTCAGAATATAAATTATATATGTTTATGCCTTTGAAGGCCTGTTCCATCAATTGGCTGATCTATAATAATAATTATTAATATTGATAATTATAAAATAGAAATTGATAGTAATAGTAATGTATACAGAGTAACTACAAATCTCAAATACTGTGGCCAAGTAGTCAGTTTTCAAGGTAGAGTCTTCCACAAAAGTGCAGCACTGTATTCACTTGTGCATACATACAGGTAGAGAATAAAGATAGAAATCCGAAGAAACCACAATAAACTGGAATGTTCAACAGCAAGAATGATGAGGATTTAAAGAATCTAAGAGATTGCAAAGGGTGAGTGTATCAGCTTTGCTGGGATCAGTTTCATGCCACAATTTCTTTAACTCTCCATTCACTCATCTTTAGACATCCGGGAACCCACTTAGGTAACTCCCGCCAAATGCAAGATGATGTTACAGCATTGGACTACACCGACTCTTAGTTTAGAAGTAGGAAGTGAAGTGGCAAAGCACGTTGACAGCTTCACTTACATGGGAAGTACCATCAGCCCCAACGGGTTGATCTCTGACGAAATCTCAGCAGGAATACAGAAGGCACGTTTCGCATATGCCAGTTTACGCCGTCTCTGGCTTAGTAGACGTGATATCCGACTATCGACCAAAGGGCGAGTGTACTGCTCAGCAGTCCGATCCGTCCTCCTTTATAGCTAGCTGTGAGACCTGGCCATTAAGAATGGAAGACATGAAAAGATCAGCTGTCTGTGATCATAGGTGTCTGCCTTCTATCTCCTGTGTGAAGTGCTATAATAAGTTGAGCAATATTGAGGTTAGGCATCAGGCGAGTGCTAGGTAAGGAGGGGAAATCAGTCAACGAGACTGTGAAATTACATTGACTGATATGGTTAGGACATGTGCTACGTATGCCTAGTCATTGCCTTCCTCGACAGACGGGCAATGTTAGCTGATATAGGATCAGGCTGGAAAAGAGCTAGCGGCAGTCAAACCAAAACATGTCACCAGTCAATGAAATCTACAAGAGTCAGTCTAAGCCACGTGGGAAGGTGTAGACTTCCTGGTTGGGGTCCTCGGGACGGTAAAAACCAATGGTTGGAAACAATTGGTGACATGGCTCAAAGTGATCGTTCTCAATGGCTAACGCAGATGCATCCACTCCTTGTGACTCATGATTTCCAATAAAACTGTTTTCTTCTTCGTTATTACTATTCCTTTGTCTCACACCTCTGTTTACTGTCTATATTATGCATTTCTCTTACTTTCTTCTCTTGCTTTGTGTGCTACAAAGGGTGGAGTGTGGCAACTTGAACTGCCGCCCATATGTGCTAAGTTCTATGTCGAAAACAGACAGACTTAGGTAACCTTTAACCCCACCACCTATGTGCCTGACTCAAAGCAACGCTTAAAGACATCGACGATTGGTGACATATTTTGAAACACACAGCGATAAAAATGTGACGGCGGTTTTCTTTGCATCATCTAAGCAGTAGTTAACAATCACACATACTATACACGATGAATTAAAGCAGTTCTCATGAAACTAATCCCTACGTGTTCATTTGCAGAGACTCAACTGATTTCAGTTAGCGAATAACTTGAAACTGAACGGCTATTGCTCCCCAGTTAAGCACTCATCAGCACTATGAAACCACAACTACATCCCAGGAATCCAGGACACCTCAATAGTAACGATATCTCAACACTAGAAGGTCAGGCAATCCCAACCAACTTCTAGTCAGTCACTAGTGAGCATTACACTCCTTCTTCACTAATCAGTCTTCCAAGATTTCCAATGGACATCTTTATTCAATTACTATTCACTCACAAGTGCCAACAATCTTATAAGGTAAGACAGTGAAGTGGTATAAGCAATGCTGATCATCAACACGAATAAACAGAATTTAAGGTACGCATTCATCCTTTACGGTTACAATGCTCGAGTCAGAGTTAGCAATTATTTGGTTGAGGTATAGCTTGAGAAACTGCTCCAGATGAAATCCCATCCCTCACTCCAATCACAACGCACACACACATACACACTTCTGAATCCTGAACATCCTTCATTATTAACAATCAACCCAATCACCATCCCTTATAACTAGTAGATTGTTACTCATTCAAATTCTAACACGTCACCTGAAGGTTAGTCGCCAGCTCATTCACTTGAATCATGATTCTTTAGCCTTGTTATTATTTTAAGATTTAAACAAATTACTTACAATACGTTGACATTCTCTAGTTTTATTGTCAGTGAATGCACACCAGGTTGAGCATTGGTCACTACAACATTTAGCGAGTAGATCATTCCATGAACTAATAAGGTGAATTGTGAATAAAACAAAAAGATCACACTGTCAAAAATTAAACAATTTAAGAAATTCTCAACAAAATTAACTAGAATGGTATATATATACATATGTATTGGACGGTAATTATACGGTGACACATACCGCTGAGTGGACGTTGACTGAACTCTATCAAGTTAAGCTTGCAATGCCGCTTCATGAAGCTAGGTAAATTGACATCATAGTGCGGTCCCTAAATTAATGTTAGATGGTTATAGGCAGTTGGCAGATGGCGGCCTTGTCTCAAACTACGTTTCATTCTCCCAGAAGCTCGTCAGTTAGAAATATCTACAACCTTCAAGAACTGATATACCCTCTGAGATTAGAATATGCGTTACTCACCAGTGCCAACAATTATGGAACCTAGTTTATGGCCTTCTTGCCGATTACCTCTAATCATCTAACACCAATGAAGGATGCACCGCTATGGTGAGTTTCCAAATTTGATAACCAAACATGATATTGGATACTCCCAAGTGTGACCAATCAATGTATCCATTACAGCCCTACAAAGGATCTATCATGAGCATAAATAGTTCACTGATAACTCCTCTGACTGCAGTACTAACTAACACTAAATTTAATCTCAGGAGGTTGTGGGGGGAGGCGGAATCAATTGTTTCGAGTTTGCAGATACGTCTTGCTGACCTGTGGCAACAATATCAAGTTAGAAAATAAATATTCCTGTGAAACCAGATAACTCAATAAAGTACAAAACACATTTATAAATTACACTGTGGATCATATTTACATAACGTAACACCTAATTATCAGTATAAATAGTAGGCCTGTGGCGTGATATAGATTGATAGAGAGCCGCCAAAACCGAAATCAACATTTTAAGTCAATGTCTGCAGAGGCAGAAGTGTTCACTTCACAAATCAGGAATTAGATTACGTTGTAGACATGAAGTAACCTTATTGGATAGCTTGTACAACCTCGGGCTGACTGTCAACCAAACAGAACGTTTTATTTTCCTCTGACGTTGTGGAACCTCATTGCGACTAAGAATGTATATATCATGTGTTTTCCTTCAATGAAAGTCAATTCCAAAATTCCTTACCTCCTGCCGTTAGAAGCTTACACAGGAGAGAATTCGTAAGTCATTCGCTTCAAAGTTCATTACCGTGAAACTACATTGACTTAACGGAAAATAGATTGGGAAATCAGTGGCCATAATAGTCAACTCAATGTTAAGAAGTGATGGAGGAGATCTGCAGTTCTGGTTGATGATAATGTTGTGATTTGTAGATCAAGCTGACAATATTATTGTGTAGTTGTGTTCTTTGACCTCTGGATGGTTTTTATGACAGACTTTCAACGTCTCTTTCTAGACGACATCTTCAGCACAGACTTCAATATGAAATGAACTTATATTGAATTCTCTTTCATTGCGTAGCCAGGCAACTCTGTGTGTTCAATCATCGCTGCCATTATTGACACTGTCATGTAAGTAATACTGAGATCCAGTGACGTGTGTCAACATAGTGATGATCGTCTTCCAATAAACGGTTTCATCTCAAGACTTGTTCTGCAAATGTTATCCCAACAACCTTCATAATATTCACTGTTTTCTAGCCTTGGCACTCGACCAGAAGATTCGTAAGGCTGGTCATTCCATGATTTGGTATCATGAGATGAACAATACTTGTGTTAAGTTAGCATCTACCTGTGCATCACAACTCCCTGGCTCGAATCGTCAATCTGTGACTTGAAAAGTTATCAAACATAATTGAGAATCGTAACCATTGGCTGACAAACTGTCCTGCCTCTTTTCCATACTTTCTCAAAGCAAAATGAAGTTTTAAACGCTCCTTGAATACTCTTCACAAGTATTCTCACCTCTCTTCATGATGCCGTCTCTCAATAAGTCTACGTCGACAAGAGTAAACAATAGACACCAAAGTTAAATGACCTTGATCTGACCAATCAGATAGCTCAGCATTACAAATGGTTCCTAGTCATAATCCTCTTTGAAAGTGTCTCCTAGATTTGGTTTTTGACTTCTCTGTAGATAATGTGTTGATAGGGAGGAATAAAACATGCATGTGTGGAGGGATAATAACTCCGGAAAAGTATTGCCGGGCTACTGATGGTTATACATTCAGATGCAACCACTTTATATGAGAAAGTCTGTATAAGTTGGTAAGTCGTACATAACTGGTGATTTTTTAGACACTTTCTTCTCTAAATCAAAGCTCTCCCTTAGTAATATATTGCGTATATGCAACCAGTATCTGCTACAGCTGGAGAAATAGAGAATACATTGGTGTGATATGTCTGTAACCACTTTTATGAGAATCTGAGACCATTTTTTGCAGTATATTGGAGATATATACCCTATATGATTCATTTTTATTGCATATATATCGTAGATACCCTTCTTTGTAAATTAAGTACCACTTTTCACCTAGAAGAATCTCATTGGCTGCTTCAAGGTCGTCCGAAGTTGGTGTCTATTCTTTACTGTTGCGTCTTCTTCTTCTCCACGTATTCAGCTCTACTGTTTATGTGACATATTATTCCTTAGTGTCCATATGGTATCACGTCTATGTTGAAATAAAACACTAATAGACTCAGACAATAGGATCACAAGTCGTAGAAAGCATAACAAATTTACAATGCTTCTCAACGGAATATGGTATATGAAAATCAATGAAGTTAGTCTTCAACACATAAGGGCAAAAAGCATCAACGGTTAGCAGAAATTAATGACTCCACCCATCAAAGAAAGAAATTGATGAATTCCTTCAAGACCGAAGATATACCTGTTATTAAATTCCATTGTCAATTTGTTATAACTGAACTGATCTGAATAAATCCGTTGCTACTTTGTCATATCTGCGCCTGCTAATTACTATAACGGTAATGAACTCGACTGGTACGCTATACTACACCTATTTGTCCGTTGTACCTTCCGATTCACTGAGCCACGCAAATATTAAAAGACAAAGGCCTGCCTGTGACTGTAAGATATTTTACTGTACTGTACTACGTAGTTTAAGAAACAATACATGATATTTATACATTTTCTTAACCATAATAAAGTCGGCTCACGACTGTGGGAATGTATTGCTCTTATCGGTTGGAAATGTTTATCCTGATTGGTTGTTCGTCAGGCAAAGATCAAGGTGAGACAAAAGAAGATGAATTGGTTACAGTCTAAACCACAATATGCATGAGAAATGATATATTCACATAGTAACTCCATCACTTGATAAATCACACGATTCGTGAGAAAGGATGATATACTATTTTATGCTGGGTCCTATCAATGTCTTTCACTGAAATGTGCCAACTGGCAAGGTCCATGAATGTGTGGGTGACGAACTCCTTTAAACATCTAATAGAAACCGTTAGTATTAAGAGTGAGTTAAAGTAGCAATGGGTATATCTTGAATCCTCAAATATTATACACTATTACTATTATCACTATTATTTCCTCTTACCTTTCATCGATAAGACCATGATATCTGATAAAATATAAAATTGAGTTATCATTCAATGTATGGCTCGTCAATCCATTACCAACCGCAATACCCTAAAATGATACAGAGGAAACAAGAAAGTAGAAAGGGAACTAAAATTCAGCGACTTCATAATAGCATAACGCTGAGTTACTGAATTCCTCGGAAGTGCAGCCATTTAATTTTACCACACTCCATACGTCATATAAAGGTAGAGAAGAACACTAAAGGATCTATAACACACTTAAAATATACGGAAGGGAGAGTAGTTAAATCGAAGAAAATGAGATCTTGGAGATTACACGCACTGAATGCATCTACACTGCCAGCTGGCAACTGTTTTCAGTCATGCAACCAACGGTCTCCAGTCGTAAGATATTAGCATTTCCAGGACACCAACCACGCAGTCTACACACCACTGTGTGGCTGGCTCAAATCACCAATCAAAGACTTTATGAATTGATTTCAGTTATTCGTTCGATCACCCGTAAGTCTTTTATAACTCACTTCTACGCCGGTGATCATTACCCGACAGGGAGGCGACAGCTCCTCATCGGTAACAGATGTCCTAGCCATCTCAATAGATGCAGTTTCACAGTATCATCATTTGTTTCCAACCCTTTAGCTAACCTTGTCAAGCCCAATACAGTGAAGATATAGTTGAGTTGATGGTTCAGTGATACAATGCTTGCCAAATACGAGTATAGTCCTGCGTTATTCTATCTGCCGATGCACTCATTAATCTCACCTAGCAAGTTGTACTCTCGGTAATGTGAGAATGTCACACGTGAGGATTGCAGCTCTACACCCCGTAGAAAATAAACATCACATCACTGGTAATAGAATTAAAAACCTCTGACCTGAGGCCCTTCCTTTTGTTTTACTGGGAATGCAAAGGAATAATGATAAATATTGAAGTTATAGCACCAATGTCCAACCTCAGCTATAAAACATACACAAATGACCACTGAAGTTATTTAACAGAAATCTTTATTTCATGAATAAGCTTCCTAAAGATATTAATATATGTGTGTAAAACTTGGGCACTGTGGTAGTAAGTAATTCCATATTAGTTTGTTTATTAGATATATCACACAGTGAAGCAGTATTATTTACTGGATGACGTTTCGGACAAAATTTATTGTTCATAATCATAACATCAATTATAATCACACGACTTCGTAACTTGAGTTTTGTAGTTTTCTTTGTTTTCTCCTATTTGTCGTAGGGGTAGTAGAATTTTCCAGATATCTGGGACAGGTGATGAATCATTCCTATTACACGTGTTTGCAGCTGATTTGATAAACAAAGCTTCTGTTATCAATCTCTCCTTCTATTCACCCTGTGACATTAGATTTTAAAACTGTCATCCTATCCCATCCTATTGTATGGTTGTGTGTAACTCCACGTAGTGCTATGGCTGAACTATTCTCTAGATTTCTTATTTCATTAAGGTGAAGTAGTCCTAATTTTGTTAGGTTTTTATGTTCAGCTAGTCTGACTGCCCCTGTTCTACTAGTTTGACCCATGTATTTGACTTGACAATCAATACAGCAGGGTATTAGATAAACTAAATTGTTTTGTTTTAAAGGCTCCCCAGGATCCATCATGTAACCGACAAAGCCTGTTTTTAATTGAGTTTGTATGTTTGAATGCCAGCCACTCTTATACCTGCCTTGTTAACAATTCTGCGTAAGGTTTCCGAGGTTCTTTCTTTGTATGGAATTACTACTGATGATTTAGAGTCCTTATTGTTGGTGTCGTCATTATTATTATTATCACTATAATTATCATTATTATTGTTATTATAACTATCGCTACTATCATTATTTATTTTATTTTTACATTTCCTTACATATTTCCTGACTAATTTATCCTGGTAATTATTAAGTTTCAAGGCTTCTTTTATGTGTATCCTAAAGATAACATAATGACAATAAGTGAGGAAGAGGAATAACTGAAGGTATATGTGTATCTGTTGTATTTTAACCTCGTAAATATACAGTCTCACAATAATCCCCCTGATTATTTAAAGCTAACACTACTTACAAGCTACCTCTATCATAAAACCTATTTTCTTCTTCATGATACCGACTAAAAAATTTTAAGCATTGGTTTTTGTACGGATTCAGTATGATTGGTTGGAGGATTTCATCATGAGCTGACATCAGTTAGAGGACCACTGGAAAACCTGAGAGTACTGGACAGCTGTTTTGTCCTAGTTTTGGACTCTTTTTGAGTACGCATCCACCCCTCTAGGGTTCGAAACCTGGACCTCCTGGTTACAAGGCGAGTCAGTAATCCATTGAAGAAGACATTGCGAAGTGGTCGCGCTATGTCATGAATTGGCAGGAGTTAGAATTCATGCACTGGCCATTGGATCGGGTTCCAGTGATTGATGAAGGGTCTACGAGCTTGCCTTTTAATCAGCAGGTTCTGAGTTCGAACCCCAGAGGGGTAGGTGCGTACTCATGAAGAGTCCTAAGCTAGGATGAAACAGCTTTCCAGTGCTTCCACGTTTTCCAATGGTTATCTAACTGATGTCAGCTCATGATGAAATCCTCCAACAAATTAAAACATTTTAAGCCAGAGAATTTTTTAAAACGTTTCACCAACGTCCACCCGTACCTGCATACACAAATAAGATTTTAGTAGAATAAACCTTTAATACTAACACATTTTTGTATAACTGAATTCGTGAATAAAATTGAATTGGAGATATGGACGACCAGTCGGTAGACAGACTGAACACAACTACCAGAGGCAAATATCCCATGTAGCAGGCTATGAGCCATACTATTTATTGTGTGTGTGAGGACTGATGATAATACCACCAACCTGAAGTAGGTGGTGGATGTTGAATGCCTAAGGCAATAAGTTACATTTTCAATACATCAACCTAAGCACTACACTTTCAGCCGCAGAAGTTCAAAGTTCGGATATCGTTCCACTAACTTCAGTGTCGACAGTGATGGGGGCGAGGGGAGCAAATTCATAGTGTCACTAATAACAACCTGCTTTCAAATTATCACTTATCAGTAGATAGATGGACAGACGAATCAGGAGCTTTTCGCTATTACATTTGGGATTGTATTGTAACAACAGAAGACAAGGGCCAAGCAACAGAACGTTTATTACGGAAAATCAACACATATTTATAGATTTTGATATACATTATTGTAGGTTAATGTTAGTAGAAAATACAGTCTGTTGATTGGTTGTTTCTCACACAAAGTTAACCTTGCATCTCTTGTGGCTGTGTCAGTTCTGTATCCGCCTGTCCATCTTGACCTTGACCTCAATTACTGCCAACCAATTTGGCTAGCAACCATCTCTCACCACAGTATGACTTATAATCACTGAAAATATATCAAGTAAAACGTAAGCTTTATGACTACTAATCCTTCATGAAATATATTTCTTATTTTTTCTATTCACATTACATTACGTTTAACTAATCTTGAACGCAAAAACGAATACACTTTTAAGTGTTTAATCGCAGACGGTCCACTATCACGATGAAGTATCAAAGATCCGAGAATATTCAACTTTGCCACACAAGTGAGACGAAATTCATTCTACGTCAATGTCTGTAGCCGCATATCTTTTATATTAAAATGTGTTGATTCTGATGACTTGGATTTTATAACCACTGCTGTATCCACTGTGAAAGATGGCTGTTTGAATTCAGTTGGCTGGGAGAGATGTTTTAGGTTCCACGGGCTACGAGCCACACGCTACCTATTGTGTGTGAGGATTCATGATACCTACTGAAAAAGGTGGAGTGAGATTTGAACCTGCGGCCTCACTGGCTAAAAGTCAGGCATACAAGCCGATGGATCACATATCCCTACTCAAATACGTCTACATAATAGCAACAGAAATAATAATAATGATAATAATAATGCAAATTGATTACAAGTCATTAGCCCAATGCATTATTATTTTCCTATAGTGTGTACATATCTCTAAGAATACAAGGAAATAGCTACCCATCTCTGAGTTAATTAGTTATTTCAGTTCAGAATACAGGCAGAAATAATACTCATGACAAAACTGAACCAAACTAAAGAATTTCTATAAAATTCACAAATTACACAGTTCACAGTGAAATTTTCTCCACAGTTCCCTTTGAAACACGAAACCATGAAGATCACAAAATATTCCATCTGTTTGATAGCGTAAATGCGAATCAAGAAAGCAGAAAGCACAAATACATCACGGCACGCACTACTCATTGACGTGAAATAAGTACTTTGATAACATTCACATCCGAAGGAGACTGTGCTAAAATTCCACCGCGAACTGCGCAATTTGCAAGCTGCATATTCGATTCAATGTGTTACTAGTTCGCCAAAGTGGTTAGCTAAAGTTCGACTGGCCTGAACTGATTCGGCTGTCTGAAAGGAGTGAAACAGGGTACACCACTGACGAGTGTGGCCCCAAATGGGCCAAATGGCTGTCCGGTCTTCAGATCACTTCGATCTTGTTGGTTAACAAGCATTACTGGTCTGGGTGAGTGAATGAGTGACATCTAACTACTCATATGAACCAACCGGTAGTATATAGCTTCATGTAAAAGGGATTTAAAGGTTAAGAGGAAGCCAAAAATTTGAAGAAATAACAAAAACTTACCGTAAGTTTAAATCTCGGTGAATCTTTAAGCAGTAGTGCCAGTGTAGGCACATAAACACCACCATAACTCTCACCAGTGACATACAATTTACGACCTTCATATTCTGGAAACTTGTCTAAGAAATGAAGCAGTGCATGGTGATTATTTAACGCCGTCTATAGTGAGTGGAGAAAAGAAATACAAAGGAGAAGGGAAAATCAAATGAATATAGACTCTCTTAATGATATTCAAACACAGATATCTCCCTTTTGACTACACAGAAAGTATCTATTGATTGTGTTTTTGAGTATATAGAGCTGCGATTTGTTGCTTGATTTGCTCAACACGCAAAGTATTTGTAGTGAAACCGAACTCCACCTAATTCACACGTTTTAACTAGCCATCCTTGTGTCATCATAAATTCACACAATAAATATGCTTCATTGTACGAATATGTGTACAGCTGTTATGCAACACCTCATTGTTAACCCAATATATCTATATCATGACTATCATTAAAACACAGTTCTAGAGGTGCAGGCAATGAGCCACACTTATTGTGTGACACAGAATAATAATACCCAGTCGGCTGACAGGTTAAGGTGGGTGGAATGGGATTCAAATGAGGGACCCATTGGTTGGGAGTTGATTGTATAAGTCAATGAGCCACATTTCCACATCATTTACATTGATAAACAGAGATCAGTAGTACAATCAATGACATCAATCTAGATACTTATCTTTGAAATCTTTCAAAAGAAACTGCACTATAACAGAATCAATATGCAAGTGATCAACGAGTAATTATCAGGAGTAATGATTCTAACTTATCTATTTTAATTGCCCCTCGTGTTTTCCTCCAGTTTTCAACTAATTTTAGTATCACTGTATTCAGTTCGTTTGAATTCAGTCTCTTGGAACAGTATTTTCACTTTCTAGGCTATGAGCTGCACTTTCTGAACAAGGACTAGTAATGCAGGTTTTACCTAGAGGAGCGGGAAAACCTTTGTTCGAAACCAATGGTGTCTAGAGGTTCCAGAATTCGAAAGCATAGAGTGGCATATGAACTAGTATTTGGTAATCGGAGAACATGGGAACACAGCCCCATCGCCTTCTGAATCAGAATTCAAGTCAAATATTCAGGAACGGTCAGTTGAGGTAGCCGCCTGCTTCGGCGTTCTGGAAGTATCTGGGTCCTAGCACCAACTATGGGACAATTATGTGTGGTGAATCTCTTGGATTCCACTATGTACTAAGAGTGCTCGTCCACATGCACATACAGATATATGCTGCAGTAGTCACGGTGGTTATACAATAATTCCAGGTACTACGTTTTATAACTTCTACATTCCTCTCTCATTGAGATTCTGGGAACATAGGTCCTGCAGTCACATGCATCAGTTATGTTTAATAATTGTCTAAATACACACTTTACAACAACCGTTAAATTAGTTATCGGACCCATATAAAATAAACGCAGTGTCACTGGAGCAGTAGACAATGGTAGTCCTTAAAAACTCTACTCACCTGATCATCATCAGTCGTAACATTACCATCAAGAGAATAAGAGAATCCTACACCAGCTGGAGACTCCAAGTAAAGCACATTACCGAGCTGAAAAACAACAAATTGTTAAGTAGACATTTTGAAATAAGATAGTGAAGAAGAAGATCCTGCATTTCTCCAAAATGGAGAACCACAAAGAAATACTCCGGTGGTTCTTTAACTGATATTAGCTCATTATGAAAAATCTTATAATGATCAATCAAACTCCCTACAAAACAACCAATACTTGAAACTACTCAATATGTTAACTAATCCAAGCGAAACTGCTCAAAACATACAGAGAATGCATTGCGTAGGAAGTGATAGAAATTCTCAACGTTAAAATTACAAAAATTAATAAAGGAATAACTCATAAACTTCACATAAAAATTTATTCGTTTACCTATTCTGCAGAAAAAACATTACACAATAGGAGCGCGAAACGATGCACTAAGTCAACAAAGGAGGAGGAGATAGAAAACGAGTAGTTGCATTGGTCACGAATATTCAAAACAGCATACATTACCTAATTATTTGACCACAGTTGTTTGTGTCCCATTTCCCGTGAAAAGTGGTATTATATGGTGAGTAATAATGACTTCAGATATCGAGTGTTAGTTAGCTAAGAATCGAAAGTCAATCGATCAGCTCATGGAGCTACATCGATTAAGATGGCTAGGACACGTGTTACCCATGCTCACCCATCACCTACGATAGGCAGTGTTAGTTGGCATAGGCTCAGGTTGGAAAAGAGTTACGGGTGATCAAACTGAAACCTCACATTAATCCACGAGGTCACTGACTCTTTGTTTGAACTAGTCCCGTAAGGAAGTGTAAACTCCCTCAATGGGGTTATCGGGATGCTAAGAACTATAGGTGATATAAGGTAAAACGGTATTGATCCACAAAATCAACAGTCCCAAAACACTGGTACTTAACATTCTATAGACACTAACCAGGTGACCTTTACCTAACTATGTTACTGACAAAAACCACACTTCCAAACACTAATTGAGATAACGTCATCTTATGATTTGCAAAACCCTAACTGTCTTCCAGTCTAACTGTATATCAGCTAGTATTGCTCGACAAGGAAGGCTGCGGTATGAAAAGCATCCCCTCACTCGATTCAGCTTCACAACCTCATCCACTGACTCCTCACCTAACACATCCCACCTAACCCCAGTATTACTCATCATACCATACTAATTAATACGAGAGGCAGAATCCTAACAGCCTGTTCATATCGTCCACACTCAACAGCTATGCCTCATGACATACAAAAATTTAGCCTCACTATTCAGAAATCAATGAAACTAACTAAAGATTACTTCACCTTATTCGCCTACTTACCATCCAACTAAATCTTTTGTATGAGAAAATACATGACTAAGACTACTGACATTTCCTCATGAAAATAACAAACACCTCAGCTATTGTTCACAAGAAAAGCAAAGCAGTAATCGGGTCAACACGACACTACCACGAAATAAAGAACCTAACAATATATATATATGTATGCTGATAAAACTTTAAATATCGAATAAATAAGTCAAAAGTCACCAAGGAAATAGTATCTAGCTTACCTTATTCCAAGAGTATGGATTATTTACAAGACTAGGTCCCTTTGTAAGCTGAAATAGAGACAAATAAAAACAACAGGTGATATTTAAAATCACAGATTGAAGTCAAACAATTACAAGCAATACTTCTACTCGAAAATTCCCAAACGAAGCCTTCATTTAACCCACTTGACAATTTGTCAGGGCCAACACATTATGCTGAGCCAACGCCTGGAGATTCCAGTGAGGAAGATGCCGCACCATTAAAGAGCTGACATAGTTGACTGTTGTTAGTGTTCCACAATTGCAAGGGGTTTTCCACGTCCATTTCGCTTTGGTTATGTGTACTCTCTCCCTCTCCCTCTACTTGCATGAAAAACAATTATAACGATCTATGAGTACTTGATTTGGCTATATAAGCATTTCCGTTCCAACTTTTCTCAGGAATAAGATAATATTAACATAACAATGAGGACTATTATGCCTGTCGAGATTCCTTATACGGATATTCCCCAAATATGGCAGACTACTTTAGGACTATCGCAAAGTCAGTAGACAAGTGGGCAAAGCGAATGCAACAAATACTGAAATTAATAATTAAAATATCAATAGGGTGGCATCAAAGGATAACATACTGTTGCCAGTCTGCAGTGTACAACTGCCCATTAATAACGAGGAGTAGTCAGTGCAGTAGCTGGGCTAAGCAATCTAAACTTAACAACGGTTTTATGTAAGATAAAACTAAACTAAGGTTTACCAAGAGTTGGCCGGCCGTTTTCCAAGTTAGCTGAACGTATATCCAAGACATCATGTGAATTCTGCTTAGACTTTATGTGGTCATTACACATATAACACCGTTTCGGTCAAACGTATTCCGTGTCAACTCTGGAAAATTATTCCCTATTTATCAGAATATAACTTACCATGTATGGACCGTTTTCCGAAAGCAGGCCTTCTAATGATGAGCACCCAGGGCCACCGTTCAACCATAGTATCAGAGGTGCAGACTCTGGTTTCGTCGCAGCTTCAACAAGCCAATAGTGAATTTGGATTTTGTCAGTAACACCATTAAGGTATCCTGAATATTGTGTGAAATTTGGTGGTGGCCACACTCCTGGCAAATATGAGATCTTATCTGAATCTCCTGGTTTTTCTCCCCTAACCACAGATATCCAACAACTACTGAAGGTAAAGAGATATGTCAACACAATCAAGGTCATACGAGCGTCTGATGGTATATTCAAATTGAGCGCAAATTCTCACTAAGTCCTATTGTGAGCCATTCGAAGCAGGTTTGCCGCCTGTGTTAATCATTTTCGTTGCAATTTTTGTACTGTGGGACAATTTTGTAAGTTTAAGTATTCAGTGAATCAAGTGAGGGGTTGGGCTGTTATTCCGAGAGTTCAGATCTTGTTGCAAGAAGCATAAGTCTACGCTGATAATTTTTGATTATAGCATCCGATATCT